GAAGAAACTTTTGGCAGAGATTGAAATTATCTTAATATGTTTATTAAAAAATCCTGGCATTATTTATAAAAATTTTGAAGAATTCTTTCTAAAAAATGTTATTAAATTTTATACTTCCATAAAAGATTATTGTGTTTCGTACATTAATTAATATTAACTTTATTATTAAATAAAAATCTAATTGCATTTTATAGACAAATCCATTAATTAAACGACTTTTAAATTAGATAATTAGATTTTAATCTTAAATTTTAATAAGTTATTAATTGCTAATTTATTTTAAAAAAAATCGAATAAATATTACCGAATTAATTTAGGTTTTTTGGCTTTTACTTTTAGGAAATAAGACACTGCCCAACACACTATCCAAAGTTCCTCCGACTGTTTTTACTACACCTGTCAATACCTGGCCAACAGATTCTAACAATCCACTCAAACTCGGCATTTTACTTTTATCTGTATCTATATTTTGACAATTTACAATAAAAATTACAAAGAAGAAAATGATAAAATAACGGGAATCCATAATGTTGTGAATCGTATCTGAAATGAATATCTGATCATTTGCTTTTATACATTTATTTCGGCTGAATAAACACGATTAGGACCCTTTGCACTTATATAATTAGCCTAATTCTTTAAAGGAAGCAATAAATATTTTGATAAAAAAAGAAATTTGTTAGACTGTTATTCAGACTGAACAACAGTCTTCCTCCATTAGACAGTCGTTACACGTTTAATTATAATTTATGATCAATGATGCAGAGTATAATAGCTTATAAAGGGTTTATCCGTTATAAAAATAATTAATAAAGGAAATAAAAAGTGTTTATGATCGACTAATCGACTAAATAGCTAATTTAGTGTCTGTTACTATCAAAAAATTTTTAGGCAATTATAGCAAAGTTCTTTAAGAAAATTTATGATAATACTATGATAATAATAATGATATGAATATTTAAAAATATTTATTTTATAAATTAATATTTGAAATTTTCTCAAGTGAAATTCCTTATTATCTCTTTTATAATTCCTCGTATTATTTTTAGTTTCTCTGGTTAGGTGCATGTATGGTAACTGTACGTCAATCAAATTGTTAAAATAGATTGCATGTAATTATGAAACTCTCACTTACACATTATTATAACATTGTTTAATCGATTATTATTCTAATTTATTTAAAAAATATAAGAAAAAATAAAATAAAGTGAGCCAGATAATCTACATCATTTAATAATTTTACAAATTAAAGTATTTGCATTCGAGGAAAAATTTTACATTATTTACGTTTTAAATTAAACCAATAAGCTGCAATATTTCAACTGTATACACAATACCACCACCTGTTATACGTTGGAGAGAGATAAACAATATTTCTGTTTTTAAAGATGGATGACGATATTTTAGTTTCGGCTATAGATTTCATGCAGAAATATAATTTTTTAACGGCGATTTTAATCTCATCTACGACATGTTTAAGCTTTCATGCAATAGTTCTTCTGATGAAGAAAATATGTTGTAAGAGCTAAATACACAAAAATGAAAGGTAAGTGTTATCTAAAATTAACATAATTTAAAATTTCTTGCTAATTAGCACTGTTCTATTGAAGAGTATTTATTGGTTTTATAGATTATAAATATTATTTATATAACTATACAAGCTACGTTTAAAATAGAGAAGTAAACAAAATATTAAAATTTACCTAACTTATTAAATTTTGTATTAAGAAATTAAATAACAATATTTTAATTGTCTTGAGTTATAAAATTTCTATTTTCTATAAACTGAACTAGAAATCTAAAAGAGTTTAAAAATGATCTAAATCACTTCCCGACGGACAGACAGTCAGAGATACAGCATCTGTTTTTACATATGCAAACCCAGTCTGTCTACTACTTACTATTTAGCGAGTATTATTAAATTACATACTTAGAATTCTCCAGTAGTTGTAGCATTGTCACGTTTATTACGAAGTGTCAAGGAGGTGTTTAGGTTTAATTGTAGCCTACATTTTCCTCAGTATTCGAGACTAGTTAGTCTCAAAGGAAACAGGAAAATGTAGGCTACTTGGTCCAGCTCGGTCAAATGATTTAGGGGTGTATGAAGTACAGACAAACATTTTATTTTGTATACCGTATTTATTCTAATAAGCAGCGTCCCGTAATAAATAACGAAGCTGAAATAAAGTATGAGTGTGTTGAGTGTTATGTGAGTGTATTGTTCAAATAATAAAATCAAAACGTTACTTGATGTATTCCATTATTATCGAATATTAGTCGCTTCCAATTCTGAAAGGGTAGAAATAAAAGACCCCCTCTAATAAACAGTTGCAAGCTGAAAAAAAGTCATTACTTACTAGTTAGACAACACGTGTTTAGTAAAACAAATATACAGTACAGGATTCTATTAATAAATATTCTGCTGTACGCAATCAACTTTTTTAATGAAGCATATTTATTTTATTTCTTTTTAAAATATTATAATGACAAACAGAAGATCCACATTTATAATGTTTTTTAATATAATCATAATTAAAATATTAAATTTAAATATAAATTAAGTTAATTATATTTATCGTGGAATTAAATTTTAATTGCAATATGGAAGTAATCTAAATTAACATTAAGATAGTTTCATTGTAATTTGTAAATTCAGAACGAAAAAAACGGTTATTTTTTGGTTAGAATAATAATATACATTTATTTTTATTTCAGAATTTCCTCTTCAATTTTCATCGTTTCTTGTCTAAAATTTAAGATCTGCAATACTTCATCATGTTAAACAGTTGTATATTAATTAAATATTGATTTTACTATAATTCAGTTTATTAAAATAAAAATTAAATGAGATTTATTTTAATGATTCAAAATAAAAAATTTTTGTACTTATTTTTCGTTTAAGTTTAGTTTTAATAATTATATTATAATGTACAGTACAGTAAATGAAAGTAAAAACAGATGCTTTCATGTTTTTACATATTACTTTTTTTAATTTATGTGTATATAAAATAGAAAATAATTTCGTTATTTGTAATCCACAAAATTTAATAATTAGCTGGAAAACATTTTCTATAGATTTAATAATAATTAGTTTAGTATAGTGGTTCATCAAAAACACTATCTACGGGTATAAAATAAAACGGCGCACAGTTACTTTACAGGGCAGAGCCTAGCGACGTATCATTATAAGTACGAGAGTTGTGATGTCAAAAGAATAATTACGTTAAGAAAAATCAAAATGAATTAGAAATTAATTGTTAATTATATTTAAAACGGAGCGTTTTACGAGGTTTACAGAATTGTGTTCGTTCTCAAAATCCGTTCGATCGATTTTCATTAAACTTTACCATTTTCTATTAATTGCGATGCGGAATTAAAAAGTGTAATGAAGGTCCATTTAAATAGGAGTCCATGACTTCGTTTTCCTTATACAGAGGTATTAAAGTGACAATGTCCGTGCTCTCTGGTGCGACTGATCGCGCCTAACGGAATTTAGGCCTAGGGATCATATAAAAATAGAATTGCATGTTTCCAATGGAAAATAGGCGCGAAAATCGAACAAAACAAAAGAACAAAGCAATCGATGGCGATTATTTTGTTCTTGGATCGCCAAGTACAAAGTACCTGCACGTGCAAGGCATAAAAGAATCGATCCTTGCCACTTCCAACTCCATCGCGATACGACAAAGTTGCACGATGTCTTAGTAAAATTGCATTTAAACTATAATTAAAGCATTAAAATTAGGAAAGTTGTTATAAAACAATTTCGGGTTAATTTATTTCATTTTTTTCAATGAAAGAATAAATTCGATTTTTTCTCAAAATGAATGATAGAAGAAGGATTTTTGAATAAGGCACGTGCTTTTGAAAGGTCGCTTCATCGATAAACTAATGCAAGAAATAAAACACACAAAGCCCAGGTGATAACAATCTTTAACACCTTAAAAAATCTATTATTAAGAATAGCGTCAAATTAATGTATGTTTATCCGATTACTCTCGACTTAGCCAAAATATCTTCTGTCAAACTGTCTAATTAAAGTTAATAATTTATTAAATAAGAATTATTTATTACTTCATATTATCTAGTGATAAGAGTACTCAAATTTTCATGAAATTTGATTTTTTTTAAAAATTTCTCTTCAACTCAGATTCATCTGTTGAAATATTAGCTTCAACTAATTATCAATTAGCATTTCTCTCTGAGAGATTAAATATCTGGGATACATTTGATAATGATGATGATGATGATAATGCATTTAATTTGTTATTAGTAGAATGAGTGCTGCCATCTATTATACATTTATAGCAAAACATTATAAATTCAAGTTAATTATCTTGTGAATAATGTGTGTTGTTTTTCACTGTTGATAACGTCGCGCGACATTTTCATCTCTCGAATTTTAAAATATACCGGTCATCTCGAACCGATGTGTACAATCCTGCCCCTCCTCCAAAATTAAACCTGTAAATAATAAGCTGGAACAATCCTATTAATTATATTTTTCAGTTTTCGCTTCCTCCTTTAGTTCGTTGCAGTTAGATTCTGATTTTGTATTGTTAATCGGGACCTTCTGTTCATATCTGATCTCGTCTTTCATCTATCTAACTTCGTTTCTGAGATTAAGGGAAGATGGACAGACGGACGGACGACAGCGAAAAATTATAGGTCTACAATTTTTTCAAATTGCAGCTAAATGAATAAATATAATTGTTTTATTTTTTAAAGACAATTCTCTTTTTAACAATATCACATTTTAAACTCATCATTTTGTGTACTATATGTAACATTTATATGCATTAGTTACTCTTTATCTTCTGTAGAATTATAATTAAAAACAATGTTTTATATGCTTTTAATATAATAGAATTTATATAGAAATAAATGTTTACAAATAATCGTTGAGAAACATATTAATTTTTCTTAATTAATTAAAAATCTTAGTTATTAAAACTTGAGTAGCAATTTTTAATTTATTTCTATCCATTCTGTCCATTCTATTATTCTCCACTTTCTGATTTTTTTGATCGAATAATACTTGAATGGCTAAAATTAAAAGCAATTAGATTAATTCTGTTTTTAAAATATTGCTTAATTTCGTCTAAAAATTTCCAATTAACAATGATTAAATTAGTAATTAAGACTATTAATTTTACCATATTACAAACCTTCCTATAACTTCTCCTTGTGCCAATGTATCTGTTAATTCTGAATCTTTAGTTTCTGGTAAGAATAATACCAAAGCAGCTCCAATAAGAGATATCGAACCAAATAATCCTAACGGTAAAAATCTATGCACTTGGTCTGACTGAAAAAGTAGGAAAATCATTAGATCTATTCAATTTATCATTTATACAAATAAACGAGCAGAAATTCTTATTACTTACCGCTTCTTTCATGAAGGGAGCAATTACAGCTCCTACTCTTCCCATCATGGAACACGATCCTAATCCCACATTACGAACGACAGTGGGGTAGATTTCCGAAGATAATAAATAAGCAGATTCGAAGGATACAGATAGCCCAAACTTCGAAATTACTGCCAAAGCAGTGATAGCGATAGGAATGTCTAAAATAATATTTAATTGTAAGCCATAGATGTAAAAATATGAAAGGTAATACGAATGAAAATGATACATAATACGCACCTTCGGGGATAGCAATAGCACTAAGGCATGCCAATCCAGTTATTAACATAGAAGCAATTTGTGTGTATCTTCTACCAATAAGTCTCTGAGTGAAAAAATAGAAGAATCCTGCCGGTATTGCTATTAAGGCTGATAGAAAGAAGAACAGCAAAACATTTATTCCAATATTATCAGCTGAGAAAGTTAATCCGTAATAGGCTAGATTAGTCGATATCCTAGAAGAATTTTAATATTTAAATATTTTAAGTTTTTATTACGTTTATTCATTTAAATTAATTACTACATTAATACAGGATCTTCATAATGACGTAAATTTATGTTTTATTTAACATACATTTGACGCATAAGTTAGTGTAAATTATTTATACGATACGCATATAATGTATATTTGATAAGAAGATTCTATGTTTTGAGGGTTGAAAGATGACAGTTCAATTGTGTAATAATGCAATGTTTGAAAAATTAGCTGTCGTGTTAAAGCCCTAGTTAACAGTTTGGCTTATTCGAAAAGGGAGACATTGTGAAGTAATTTCATCGCGTGTAGTCTTTCCAGGCATATTTTTTTTTTCTAATTTTTAATTAGGCCTATTAATTGATTATTGTCTGCCAATTCGGTCATCCGATGCGCCTAGTCTTCTTATTTCTGAACTTAACTAAATTTACTTTCTATTTAACTCTCCAAATTTTCATCGATTCTAAAGAAGTTGCCTGAGAGCCACTTCTTTATCCGTTCGTATTGAATATTTCGACAGAATTTTGTTTTATAAATTTAATTTTCTCGTCAGTTATAACGGAGAGAATGTATGACAGTGGGTCAAAAATGATGTTTACATTTTGGATTCGGGGGACATTGAAACGTCGAGAAATGCAAAAAATTTGGGAGTTTTTTCTAAATGTATGGATGTTTATGTGTGTACGAGTCTGTTCACTCCTGTGCTTTTAGTAAAAAATTTCTGAGATTTTGCGAGAAGGTTTGTGTATTAAGAGGACCGATGCTATTAAATTTTGGTAATGAAAGGTCAGGGACAGGTGAAATAGAAGAAGTCAGTGTTATATCTCCAATAGGATAGGACATAATGAAGCCTTTACTCATTATTAACATTTACAATATTTTTGTGAATCGTCTCTATCCTCAAAATTAAGCTTTATCCCGTTTCATAATAATTATTAATATAAAAAAATTTTAAATAAAATATCATAACAGTTGAATTTTAAGTCTTTTTGCCGGAAAAGTTAGGCATCTCGTTGCTAGATTTTTAAAATGAATTTTGTTTTATGAATTTTCCTTATAAATTAGAGTTTAAGAATTCTTACAGATATGACAAGAAATAATATAAACCTTTTCTTTTTAAACCTTACCTAATTTTTTTTATTTATATTTAATTCTGTTTACTTTTTTTTAATCGATGTTTTATCTCTTGTTATATTTTTATTATTATGTTACCGCATTGTATTATTGGGTTTTTATTATGGTGTTTATCTTGCGTATTGGAGTGGTAGTTTCTAGTCCAATTGGACTTTATTCACTATATATTTATAATAGCATAAAAATGATTGTTGAGATTTAAAATTTGTAAATTTAAGAAAGGATAGACAATAGGAGCTCAATAGAAGCCACAAAAGCTACGCTAAAATTAATTTTGTAGTTTAGTTGAAGAAATAAAAAACTTTAAATAAGACTGGAACAAAATTATACTCTAGAAATCTATTTGGTGAGCAGTAATCACTGGATTTTTCATTTAAAAAAAATATAATAAATAATTACAGAGAGAATATAAATAAAAATGTACAAGTAATATGTATGTATAAAAAATGTCATTTTTCAATGTAAAAATAAAATAAGCATGCAGACACCGTTATCAGAAATATTCACGATTCTGTAAAGTAATAATTCAACATATAAATTTATAACATTATATAATGGTAATATATTAATTAAAATGCAAATTAAATGTACAGCACACTTGTTTATACATCAATAATCTGCATACTAGATTAAAAGAATCAAGATAAATTTATTGCTGTAGAAATGGAATTTTGACAAGACATAAGACACGAAATTTTGCAATTATATGCAAAGATTATATGTACAATCAAACATTAATACATACAGAAAAATAATAATCGGACATTACACAAACTGAGCACTTAAAGGTTGTAAAATGAGTTTCAGTAAAACACCTATATATACAGAAAACCAAAGAAACTTTATACTGTTTCCAAAAATATAAGTGCAACAGAGAAAGATAGAAACTTATTAAAAGAAATAATAGACAAAAAATCCAGCAACGAGTTGCTTAACTTTCTCGGCAACATTTAAAACTACGTATGTAGCGCTATCTGTTATGATATTTTATTTAAAACCTTTTTATATTATTAATAATTATGAAACAGCATAAAGCTTAATTTTGAGGGTAGAGACGATTCACAAAAATATTATAAATGTTAATGAGTAAAGTCTTTATTAAGTCCGACCCTATTGGAGATATGGCACTGACCTCCTCTATTTCCTCACCCCCTTGACCTTTAATCACCAAAATTTACAAGCGTCATTCCCCCTCATAAACAAACCTCCATGCAGAATTTCAGAAATTTTCAACAATAAGCACGGGAGTTATTAAGCTTCAAAGAAGGGAAACAAAATAATGCCCTTCATATACAGATTAACATCAATACATACAGAAAACAACCGCAATTTTGTTTTTTGCATTTCTTGACGTTTCAAGGTCCCCTGGGCCCAAAAATATATCCTGGGGACGGGTTCTTTTTTTTTTTACCTAGCGCTATACTTTCTCTCTGCCAGCTGGGAAAGTAAAAAGAGAGAAAATGAGTAGAAAATAGAAGAAAATGGATATAAACGTGAAAGGAACTAGGCTAGAAAAAAAGAGAAATAAAAGTGAATAAATTGTTTATTTCCTCTCTTTTAAACATTTTTAATTAATTGAAATTGTATCTGTTAATTCTGAATCTTTAGTTTCTGGTAAGAATAATACCAAAGCAGCTCCAATAACAGATATCGAGGTGGATCTGTAAAATGAATGATCGTAATCCCATGATTTGCACGGTATTCGAGTTCTATTTTCTTTCTCCATGGAACTATACATTTCACACTTGCTGTAAGATTGTTTATTGTTGTTTATTTCTATGGGAATGCTATAATTTTTCCATTCAGCCGTCGACATATTGGAAAATTCCGATGGTTTTGCACACCAATGATCGACATTCGGTGCCAAGAAAGTCATTCCTAAATTATACCATGAGCTAGGTATAGTAATGTAAATAAGAGATATCATCAGAATCAACTGCCATTTACCCCAATGTCCAATTATGTCGGTTAACTCCACTGATTTTTCTTCCTTGTTGTGACTATATTGATAATAGATAGCCTTAAATGCATCTTAACTAGTATAATTGAGAAAACTTATATATAAAAAAGCTTGTTAAGATATCTTAGAATGTAATACTTACTTTAGACTATCATCAGATGAAATATTCATTGTTGAATTCTGTACTAGAGATATATATTCAAGGAATATATAAAATCAGTTACGAGTATGGTTTATTTTCACTTGCTAGGTGAATGCACAAACAATGGAAACAGAATATTCTCTGTTAACGCTAACCTAATTTAATTTTATAAGAGTTATACAATTATTATAAATATAATTCAAATATATTTATAAATACAAAATACCAAGAAATATGTGAAACTCTAAACGGAAATCGTAAGTACTAACATTTACGACCCATACGTTCCGCAAAGTCTATAATTATATAATTATAAACTTAAGCCTATATATCATTATATAATTATAAGTGATATATAGGCTTAAGTATATTAATCACTGATCATATAATCTACTAGTAAATAATTATATGCAAGAGAAATATTAATTTATTAGAAAAAACAAAAATTATAAACCCTAATATAACAAGATATAGGTTATATCAATATAAAAAATAGCTTAATTTTCGAACTACAGTTCTTTAAACATATAGAAATGTTCTAACGAGTTAAGAATTTCATTTATTCAGTTAATACACGAACACGCTAGTTAATAAAATAATATTCTTTAATACTAAGTTTACTTTTTGCCTATTAAATTAATAAAATTGTTAAATTTCTTTTTCTCTTGTTAACAATAACATAGACATACATTACCTCCCTTTTAATGTCTGACATCGCTTTTACTTTCTCTGGTTAGGTTCATTTATGGTACATCAATTCGATTCTGAAAATACAGAAAGATCACTTACAACTTATTTGAAAATTGTTATATTTTCATTTGAAGTTAAAAAATAAACACAAATGAAATAAAATATGTCAGACAACAGAACGTTATTATGGCAAAGCTATTGATTAAAGTCTATTATAATTAATATTTCTATTCTAGTAAAATTGAAATTTCACATCATTTACGTTTTAACTTAAACTAACAGATGACAAATTTTTCATGTGTGCTACAATTGTTTTACACATAGGAGAAAAAGAGAGAGCGTATATTTTTACATTCGTCATCCTGTAAACATGCACGATCATCTATATTTTAGTTATAAATTTGTTTTTTCAAATTAACAGTTGTTGGAAACATTCCGTAATTAACATGCAAATGATTTGGTTAAACTGTAGGGTAAAGATTGACAATATCGTGGTAGTTTTTCAATTTTTTTTGACGCTGTTACAAAGCATTTGTTGTTGCAAAATAGTAGCCGAATAGTGGTGTTCCAATCGAAATAATAGCCACCATCAAGAAGGCATGTGGAATAAAATATTCAAAACACATGAAATCTAAAGTAAAATAGATAAGTCACTATACATTACATAGAAATTTAAAATATGTACNAAGGAAGAAAAATAATATAGAATAAAACAGATATCAATTCTTGATAAAACCAATCCCTCAGAAACCAAAAAATCCCTGGAAGGATAATTTGTCCTAGTGCCCATCCTACTTTATCAAATAATCCAACGATAACTCTATATTCTTTTCCAGCAATTTCTAGTACTAAGCATTAAAGATATTAATTATAGAAAAATATCATATGTAAATATTTTAATTATAGCAAACAATACGTACAAAGCACATATAGGGATAAAAATGCAGATGCTCTTCCAAATGCAAGAAAAAATTTACTTATTGTAAATAACCAGAAATTTTGAGAAAAAGTAGATATCATGCCAAAGACAGATGCCCATATTAAGCATAAATAAAGAATGGGCTTCCTTCCAAATCTGTTTATAAAAAATATTGTTACAAATATTAGAATAATTTTATCAAATATATAGAGTATTTCAGATCAACATTTGTTGTAGAACTTAGAAATAAATAAACAAAACTTACTTGTCTGATAACTGCCCACCGATGGGAACACTTATTAAATATCCGATAAAATAAAGGGATTGAGCAAAAGATGGTAACCAAGATTTCTCACATACTAAATCCCACTGAAAATTATTTCCAATATTGAAAAGTTAATGTATTTGCTAATAGAAAATATAAGGATGGATCAATAAATAACCAGCCTGAACAACCAGCCATACCATTGTTTTTGGCTGGTGTTATTTATTGATTTACCCTTGTATATATTATCAATGTACTGAGAAATAAATGCTTTAAAAATATATTAATTTTTTAAATAATAAAATATTAAAATATAAAATATTGAAATACTTATTGCATTAAAAATGGATACATTTCTTACTTTGTCGACTATGGTGGATCTGTAAAATGAATGATCGTAATCCCATGATTTGCACGGTATTCGAGTTCTATTTTCTTTCTCCATGGAACTATACATTTCACACTTGCTGTAAGATTGTTTATTGTTGTTTATTTCTATGGGAATGCTATAATTTTTCCATTCAGCCGTCGACATATTGGAAAATTCCGATGGTTTTGCACACCAATGATCGACATTCGGTGCCAAGAAAGTCATTCCTAAATTATACCATGAGCTAGGTATAGTAATGTAAATAAGAGATATCATCAGAATCAACTGCCATTTACCCCAATGTCCAATTATGTCGGTTAACTCCACTGATTTTTCTTCCTTGTTGTGACTATATTGATAATAGATAGCCTTAAATGCATCTTAACTAGTATAATTGAGAAAACTTATATATAAAAAAGCTTGTTAAGATATCTTAGAATGTAATACTTACTTTAGACTATCATCAGATGAAATATTCATTGTTGAATTCTGTACTAGAGATATATATTCAAGGAATATATAAAATCAGTTACGAGTATGGTTTATTTTCACTTGCTAGGTGAATGCACAAACAATGGAAACAGAATATTCTCTGTTAACGCTAACCTAATTTAATTTTATAAGAGTTATACAATTATTATAAATATAATTCAAATATATTTATAAATACAAAATACCAAGAAATATGTGAAACTCTAAACGGAAATCGTAAGTACTAACATTTACGACCCATACGTTCCGCAAAGTCTATAATTATATAATTATAAACTTAAGCCTATATATCATTATATAATTATAAGTGATATATAGGCTTAAGTATATTAATCACTGATCATATAATCTACTAGTAAATAATTATATGCAAGAGAAATATTAATTTATTAGAAAAAACAAAAATTATAAACCCTAATATAACAAGATATAGGTTATATCAATATAAAAAATAGCTTAATTTTCGAACTACAGTTCTTTAAACATATAGAAATGTTCTAACGAGTTAAGAATTTCATTTATTCAGTTAATACACGAACACGCTAGTTAATAAAATAATATTCTTTAATACTAAGTTTACTTTTTGCCTATTAAATTAATAAAATTGTTAAATTTCTTTTTCTCTTGTTAACAATAACATAGACATACATTACCTCCCTTTTAATGTCTGACATCGCTTTTACTTTCTCTGGTTAGGTTCATTTATGGTACATCAATTCGATTCTGAAAATACAGAAAGATCACTTACAACTTATTTGAAAATTGTTATATTTTCATTTGAAGTTAAAAAATAAACACAAATGAAATAAAATATGTCAGACAACAGAACGTTATTATGGCAAAGCTATTGATTAAAGTCTATTATAATTAATATTTCTATTCTAGTAAAATTGAAATTTCACATCATTTACGTTTTAACTTAAACTAACAGATGACAAATTTTTCATGTGTGCTACAATTGTTTTACACATAGGAGAAAAAGAGAGAGCGTATATTTTTACATTCGTCATCCTGTAAACATGCACGATCATCTATATTTTAGTTATAAATTTGTTTTTTCAAATTAACAGTTGTTGGAAACATTCCGTAATTAACATGCAAATGATTTGGTTAAACTGTAGGGTAAAGATTGACAATATCGTGGTAGTTTTTCAATTTTTTTTGACGCTGTTACAAAGCATTTGTTGTTGCAAAATAGTAGCCGAATAGTGGTGTTCCAATCGAAATAATAGCCACCATCAAGAAGGCATGTGGAATAAAATATTCAAAATACATGAAATCTAAAGTAAAATAGATAAGTCACTATACATTACATAGAAATTTAAAATATGTAACTTACTATTTTCATACTATTTATGACAATGAAAAGCTATTTTATAAAAAAAAAAATAACATACGACTAGACAATTTTTAGTGTATCTAAATTTCTTTGAGCTCTTTGTTTTAAAGCTAAACGCTTATGAATATTGTTCATTTTGTTATAGACCAAGAACATGTCTGGGCAATACAAAGATAGGAGGAGCTAAGAATCGGCGAAATTACGACACCTGAAGAATACATAAACAAGGTCTTACCGGAAAAGTAGACCATTTACAGGGCTTCGAAGGAGTTTAGAATACTTTGGAAGCATCCTTAAACACCAAGTAAATCAAGTTAACCAGAATGATAATGCAGGTCTTCACGACGCTAGTAAAAGTGTCGATATTGACATTGCTAAGCTTGCTTTTTAAGCTTGGATACCCACGGAAGTCGAGATAAAGTTTGTAATATATCTAATTGATTTACAAGAGTTAGGGATTGGGCTAGCAGTAACACAAGTTAAACAAATGGAATTTCACTTTTTAAATTATTATTTGTTATATAAGCATATGATGTCCATAAATTACATAACGCAGATACGGATGGATGGGTGTGCAAATTGTTACGATGTATTAAAACGGTTGAGATGTTTTCAAAAACGTTATGTAAGTTAGAGCGTTGTTATTCATTCCTTTGATAAACAGAATGACTCATTTTTCTATCCAAAAGACTGAATAAATGTTTGTCACTGCTTTATATGTGATAAATAAAGCAGCGAAAATCCCCATGTGAACGGTTTTAATATATACGTAAATAATGCTATACACAAAGATGTTTGCTTATATAAAGAAGTTATATTTATAATAATATAATTATAATATCTTCCTTTGTTATGTAGCCGGAAAAGTAAAACGGCAAAAACATTCCGTGTGTTGGTGTCTATTTCGTTTAATGGATGAGGTGAAGGTTAAGGAACAAAATTTGTAACTGTAGCTTGTGAGCCATTGATGTTTTAAACGAGTTAAAAAAATCCAGCAAGGGACTTGTTAACTTTCCCGGTAACATTTAAAACTGCGTGTGCGGCATCATCTCTTATGATATTTTATTATTAAAAACTTTTTATGTTTTTTATTATTATAAAATGAGAAAAGGTTTAATATTGAGGGTATAGGTTGGTTTATAGAAACAATTGTAAATGCTAATAACGAGTAAAATCGTCATTAAGTTCGACCCTACTCGAAATATGACACACGAACCCCTTTATCTCCCCACTCCTCGATCTTTAACCACCAAAATTTAATAGTTTCAATCCCCTAATTTACAAACCTTCCTGCAAACTTTCAGAAATTTTCGNTTCATTTTAATTTTTTATCTGTAAAATTTTTATGACAGAATTTATTTTCATTCATATTTACGTAGTAAAGGCTTCGACTTTCCGTCTCGAAAGACTGGAATAGATGTGACTTCTTGGTAGATTATTAGGCCTGGTTCTTCGGCTATTTTCTTAGTATCCTGTGTTACGATCGTTGGATCTGGTTGGAGAAACTGCGACCATCCAATAGACTTTTGGGAGGGCATAGTATGGATTGTGTTGATCTCAACTTTCTCTCTACTTCACCATAACGGTTTTTTCTAGTCTCATGCTTTGACTGAGCTATTCAGCATGATGCCGGAATAATCTACATGCAAGACCGTATTCGTCTTGTTCTTTTCCTTCCAGAACCACTAATGACTATTTCTGTTATTTTTCTTTCCACTCGTTCGAATTTGAGATTGAGTGGCATTTTCACTTTCACAGAATTATTAACACAACCCGCCGATCACATGCTTGAGAGATTATAAACTTAAAACCAGACATTTTTAAAGCGAATGTCAATTTTTATTTTATATTTTCTATCATGACTAATGGTTTCAAGTCCGTTTAAAATGTAATGTAATAATTTTAAGGTAAAGAAAATACTAGTAATTATCGAGTATTTATTTAATTCTTTAATAAAATAATATAAAAGTTGATTATTAAAATATTTATAGAATATTAAATAACTATTCTTTATTGCGTTTTAATTCAATTTGTACTTCATTTTCCGATTTTCTTCGTAAGATGTGACGTGTGTGGCTGCAATTTAAAAGCAATAATATTGATTTGTTTTCAAAATATTCATTAATTTTTTTCCTTAAAAATTTTAAATTATCAATAAGTAAAACAGATTCTTAAATTACAAACCTTCCTATAACTTCTCCTTGCGCCAATGTATCTGTTAATTCCGAATCTTTAGTTTCTGGTAAGAATAATACCAAAGCAGCTCCAATAAGAGATATCGAACCAAATAATCCTAATGGTAAAGCTCTATGCACATCATTTCCCTAAAAAATAGAAAAATAATTATTTAATTTATTATTTTATTTATACAAATAAACGAACAGAAATTCTTATTACTTACCGCTTCTTTCATGAAGGGAGCAATTACAGCTCCTACTCTTCCCATCATGGAACACGATCCTAATCCCACATTACGAACGACAGTGGGGTAGATTTCCGAAGATAATAAATACATAGATGTGAAGGATACAGATAAGCCAAACTTCGAAATTACTGCCAAAGCAGTGATAGCGATAGGAATGTCTAAAATAATATTTAATTGTAAGCCATAGATGTAAAAATATGAAAGGTAATACGGATGAAAATGATACATAATACGCACCTTCGGGGATAGCAATAGCAATAAGGCATGTCAATCCAGTTACTAACATAGAAGCAATTTGTGTGTATCTTCTACCAATGAATCTCTGAATGAAAAAATAGAAGAATCCTGCCGGTATTTCTACTAAGGCAGAGAGAAAGAAGAACAACAAAATATTTACTCCAATATCATCAGCTGAGAAAGATAATCCATAATAGGCTAATACGTTCGATATCCTAGAAGAATTTCAATGTTTAAAAGTAATTTTGGTAAATTTTTAAAATATTTAGTACGTTATATTAATACAGAATGTAAAATCTAGCCTAGATATTAAAAATTATGTTTTAAGTTGTTTAGAAAAATTTGTTAAGGAAAAATTAAATAGAACAGAAACATCGGAATTTAGTATTAAAAATACAAACGAACTAATAAAAAATTTAAAGAAATTTAACATTCAGGATAATTATAAAATGTGTTTTCTGGTTATTAAAATATGTATGTACTGTACTTCAGTATAACAATTGAATATATAGAAGGAACGTCACAGTCTTTACATTATCAACAGTGGTTAATTGATTTGTGTTTTTATAATTAAAAATAATTATTCTAAATATAATAGTAATTTTTATACTCAAAAATAGGATTTGTTTAAATTTTTCAAATGAAATCATAATAATATCAATAGTAAATCACAAGTAAATAAAGTCTTATAAGGAATGATCTTATTGATTTCTGCTAATCCATTTTTGAGCAATTATTTATTTTATAATGATCTTACAAAGTATAAGTAATATATGATATTAAGTATTTTTTTCAATTCGATGTCTAAAATTAATCAAAATATCTTATCTTTAAAAAAAGTCTAACAGGAAGTTATTTATATTCGTCTTTACAAACCAGACTTACATAATTTACATCGAAAAAGCTTACAGGANTAAAATTCTTATAAAATATTTTATAGAATACTCGAAATCACCAGTTTATATACTATTGTAGGAATTTTCTTTTGTAACGTGAATTTAAGAGATATGAAAAAGTTTATTAAACATTTTGTCATGATAAATATTTTAATCTTAATTACAGATTATTGACATATAGAAAAAGATCATGAATAATTTTATTTCTGCAAAGCGGACTTCTCGAAGGACTTTAATGATACTAATAAGTTTTATATAATGTTAATTATACACGTTTCTTTAGTTTAATAAAATTATCTACTCTATTTGTATTCGTTATATAGAAGGTTTCTATTCTTCACTAAAATATAAAGTGGGTCGAAGGAAGATGCCTATCGGGGAAGAAGACAAGTTTCATATACTTCCACAGTATACCGCCAGTGGCCAAGCGGTCTTCGGGTTCGCTCCTCGCTCAGGACGGACTGGCCACGTGGAGTTTTCCGGGTTTTCTCCACGTCTATAACGCCTAAATAGAAGCCAGTTCCCCTTAAAAAGACCTCCCTAGGCAGATTGCACAAATGTTACGTTGCCATAACAAACAAACAGTTTGCCAACAAAGACCTCCACACGCTGGTGTATTTATTGCTTCTAGAAATTAGAACAGGTGTCGAACGTTCATCATTTCCGCTTTCCTGGCAGTTGTTTGCCGGGAAAGCGGAAGTGATCAGCGTTCGACACCTGTTCTAATTTCTAGAAGCAATAAATAAATAAAATTCAGGAAACTACTAATTTTTTTTTTCACTGAAATTATTTCTCAGGAAAATTAGAACTGTTATATATACTTAAATGCGTTATAAAGTAAGAAAATTTGTTGATGTATGGTGTAGCTATGGTTCCACAGTTTCCATTGTCAGCAATCATTGAGTCTAAACTGTCATGTTTGTTTAAACGATTTCATGAAATATCTTAACCAGATTGTCGGGTTGAGATACATAGTGGATTCGTAATTTCGAAATAGCTTACAGAATTTAGTATTTGTATCCAAAGCGGACAAATAAATAAACTACACCCGACATTTCCATCAAAAGCAGAAAGATATTTACCGTCCCCAATTTTCTATATAATTTTCTTCGACTTATTTCATATAATTTAATGTGATCAAATTGAAAGAAATAAGATTTAAGAATTTATAAATAAATATAGAAATAAGTTTGTTAGGATTATAATGAAAACTCTATAAAATATTAATGACACATACCAAACTATGTATAAAATTAAAGTAAGTCTTCGTAAATTAGGACATTTCATTACATCCAGAAATGTTACCTGTTTATTATCCTTCCCTTCACTTTCCTGAAATTAACAAAACATTTCAGAAATAAATTTAGAAAAGTTAATTTTAGTGTCATATTAAAGAAATATAAAAAAAGTATACTAAGAAAATGAAATAAAGAAGAATTGTTCGCTTATTAGAAAATGATAATGGCCTTAATTACTTTCACAATTTTTTCAGATATAGATTTTAATTTTTCATTTAGATTTTCGATATTTCGCTTATTTGTTTTAATTGCTTTTTTAACAATTTTTTCCGCTTCATCAACTCTTCCTTTAGATAAAAGCCATCTTGGGGATTCTGGGGTGATCCTTTAATAAAAAATTTAATAGTCATTCGTCTAAATCAAACTATATTCAGAAATAATAACTAAAATACTTACCACCATAAAGGGAGAATAATGATATATGGTAAAAACGATACCAATTCTTGATAAAACCAATCTCTAAGAAGCCAAACAAGACCCGGAAGAATCATTTGTCCTACTGCCCATCCTAATTTATCAAATAATCCAACGATAACTCTATATTCTTTACCAACAACTTCCATTACTAAACACAGGAGATGAAATTAATTTAAAGTATTGTATATAAATATTTAAATTATAGAGAATTATACTTACAAAGGACGTATACAATTAAAAATGTCGATGCTCTTCCAAGTGCAAGAAAAAATCGACATATTGCAAATAACCAGAAATTTTCAGAAAATGTACATATCACACCAAAGACAAATGTCCATATTATACATAAATAAAGGATGGGTTTCCTTCCAAATCTATTTATACAAATATTATTTTTAAATTTTAGAATAATTTTTTAAAATATATTAAGTAATAAAACTCAAAATGAATAACGAAACGTACTTATCAGATAACTGCCCTCCAACAAACACAGTTACTAAAAATCCAAAAAAATAAAAGGATTGAGCTAAAGATGATAACCAAGATTTCTCACATACTAAATCCCACTGAAAAATATTCCCAATATTAAAAGCTAAATCAGTTACTAGAAATAGATGTTTATATCAATATAATTGTCTCTAGGTGATTTAAAATACATTTATAGGCTAAATATTATAATAATATGGTCACATTAATATGTGAAAAAATTTCTTACTTTTTCGACTATGGTGGATCTGTAAAATGAATGATCGTAATCCCATGATTTGCACGGTATCCGAGTTCTATTTTCTTTCTCTATGGAACTATACATTTCACACTTGCTGTAAGATTGTTTATTGTTGTTTATTACTATGGGAATGCTATAATTTTTCCATTCATCCGTTGACATATTGGAAAATTCCGGTGGTTTTGCACACCAATGATCGACATTCGGTGCCAAGAAAGCCATTCCTAAATTATACCACGCGGCAGGTATGTTTATGTATACAACAGATATCATCAATATTAACTGCCATTTACCCCAATGTCCAATTACATCGGTTATATCTTCTGATTTTTCTTCTTTGTTGTGACTATATTAATAATTGTAACTTACTCAGTATTTAGAATTAAAAATAATTTATTGAAATGTTTAAAAAGTTAATACTACTCACCTGTAAACGTTATCAGATGAAATATTCATTCTTGAATTCTGTAGCACGGATGTATGAATAATTCAGATCAGTTATAGCATATTTTACTTGCTAGATTAACTTAAATAACACATACAATTTATGACGATAACAGGACATATCTGTTAACTCTGACCTAATTTAATCTCAGAAAAACAACATATTATCGTTTCAAATTTTTATACGAACCATCCAACGTATTAAGTATATGAAAAGTGGAAAGATTTGATAAGATGTCTGATGATGATTATTAAATTAAGAAAAGAAATATATAAAATTTGAATTAATTGTCATTTTCGTTTTATTACTCTTTTTAGAAATTATGAAATTATTTAATTATTATTTTATTATGTTGATTATTATATAGTATTGTATAAGTGAATAATTATTATTGAATAAATAATGAATTAGATTTAATATAAATAACTCACTGTATATAAATGACAGATAATAATTTTATAATTTCCTTTATAGAAAGCGAAAATTATTATTTCATCATAGCGTAAAACTAATTTACGATAAAACGATATTGTAAAGAATTATAGACTATCTTTATTGTATTTTTGCCATTGTACTTTATCTTTTATTTGGGTTTGTTATATGAGGGAGGCTTTTATTGTCTACAGACATCACTTTGTAACAAATAAATCAATAAATTTCTGTTTAATTTTAATTACATAATATTTCGAAGTAATATGCAGATTACATGTTTAGAAATAAGTGATTTTTTCTTCAAAGCCTTTGAAGAAAAAATCTCCAAAGATGTAGTGATCATTTTATCCAAGATATTTTTTATTACAGATAAATTGAACAAGGAACATTGTTTACTGATGAAAACATATTTTCAGAGTTGTCATTTTTAATGTTACAATGTATTTGGTATAATTAGACAAAAATACCGTGCAAAGGAATCATTAAATCCGCCTTTAACCTTATTAATGGAAAAAGACGTAATCCTACTGCAGTGAAAGATCACAATTATAATAGAAAATAGAGAAATGAAGAAGAAAGAAAGATATAAGAATCTAAGAGAAGAACGCGATAGGAAAGAATAATAACGAAGAAAACGTAAATAAATCCGAGCTTAATAAAATTGTTGTAAAGTTGTATATTTTATTATATTTTCATTAATGATTAATTCCATAATTCATTAATGAAAAGTTTTAAATTATATCAATATAATCATTAAATTCGACATAAATAATTCTTGAATCAGGGATGTAAATAAAGTTTATTTGATGCTATAAAAGTAAATATTACATTAATATATACCATATCATCAGGTGAATATAGTTTAATTCCGATAAATAGTGGACCAAATGATTAAATATCACTAATTTTAATTTAACAAAACTTGTATAATAGTTTCTGTGTGTATCTTCTGGTGTAGAGAAGACCTACGAATAAAAGTATTATTAGAATGATTTTATTTCAATGTTTCATTTTTAATAATTCCACTTATTGTATATCAATTGAAATAGTATAAAGTTCTAAAGGTAAAAACCATAAGTATCTAATATTCAGAGGATAACACTCATATACCACTATGTTAACTTTTGTAAGCTGTATAACTACATGGTGTCGTCTCAGTGTTGAACACTTGAACCAAAAATATATATCACTTGACACGTTGTAGGATAATTCAATTTCCATTGTGATTCTGAATATTGTTGTATTGTAGGAACACGAGTTTTTCGCTCCTGGCACGTTTCCTACGTTTAGGGTCACCTAATTTATTAATTTGCTTAACTGTTATTTACAGTGATTCACAGGTCATCTAACGGGTCATCATTTGGAAATAAAACTAATATTGAATAGAATTTAACTCTTAGTTTACTTATTTTAAAACCTAGTAACTCTACATTAATGAATTTTGTCAATTTTGATTATACAGAATTTTTAACGTATCAACGCGTACCTAAAATATTATCTACTTCTATTCAAAATAAGTAAACAAAGTTATTTTTTCATTAAAATTACTAATACTACAAAATTAAAACTTATTGTGGTCGAGAGCTTCTTCCTTTTGTCATATTCGAGAATAAAAACATGTAAAAAATGTTTAATTAAAACGAAAGCTTCTAAATGTATCTGGAGAATAATCATTAAAATTTCAAAAAATAATGATATTCTAAAACGTATTTTCGAATCTTGCTGCATTTTAAATTATTAAAATCAAGACGAAATAATACATTTTAATCAACTTAAACAGGAAATTAAGTCAGAATTAGAAACTATAAGTAGAAATAATCAAATTTTCAATACTAAAATAGAACATCAGGAAAGACTAAAGAATTAAAACGTTTCAAATATTCAATTAATTTCTTTACAGTTCCAAATAAATAAAATGGAAACAAATATTGCAATCACAATTTTATCCTAAACAATAGCTCTTTCAATGGACTTTAGAAAGAATAGGCGACAAATTAATTTAATTTAGACAGAAAAAAATCTATATAAAACCGCTAAATCTTGCAATTTTAAACAGTAATAATTAATTTATATATTAGTCTAAACTCCTATGTTCTTTCATAATGATACAATGAAAGAACAGTTAGTATTTTAGCAAACACTTTTATTTGAATTTATAAATAAACATATAGGGGAGATCGGGGCAACTTCGGCATGCGGGGCAAGTTTGTCAAGCGCTTTTTTTTAAAAACAAATTAAAAGGAGACTTTGGTTATAGGTTAGGCAGTTGAGTTTTATTGGTGGCTTGTTGAGTGTAGTGTTTTTATTGTTCTCCAACAAGCGTAGTTGAATTATCAAGCAAATTTTCATTTTCGTTCAATTCCATATAATATTTTTTTTCCATTTATATTGAATTGGCAGGTTTTGTTATAATTCCATGATAACGAAAGTTACTTTTCCTGTTAGAAGGATGTAACTTCAACTTATTCACGTGGCCAGATCGTGGCTTGGCATTCTGTTCTCAGGGTTGTACTTAATGTTTCGAAATCATGACTAGCGGGGTAAGATCGGCAACATAAAGCCACATTAGAAGCAAAGGATAAAAATCAAACAGATGATAAATGAAAACATGTTTGCATTTGTTATTCATGTATATATGTCTTTGAACTTGCATTTCGTTGTAATAATATTAAATGGGTGTTGGATTTGTATTTCTTTGTTTTAATAGTGAATTCCAACTTATACATTGTTAATAACATAATTTTATATACGTGCCTATCTTGCCCCATTACTGTTGCCCCTATACCAGGGGCAACTTTAATAAAAATAATTAAAATAATTACAACTTTACAAAAAGAGAGAAGTTGCCGATCTTGCCCCTATACCCGGGGCAACTTCGTCAATTTCTCTCTTCTTGTAAAGTTGTAATTATTTTAATTATTTTTATTTCCAAACTGATTTTAACCAGTTCTATAGTAAGGTAACATTCCAATAGACAATATGCAAAGCTTTTTTTTCAGTTTACAGCAGTATTTATTACACAAAACTTAAGTAAAGCTTAACATGCCGATCTTGCCCCGATCTCCCCTATATTTTACTACTGTATTAGTTTAAAAAAAATTATGTCAAAAGTAAAAATTAATAATGTAATATCTATAAATACTAAAAAGTAATAATAAAAGCTATAAAACATGATTTGAAAACTTAAAAAGAAAGTTTTATATATTATTTTTACAAATATTTAAAGCTTAATTATTCTTGCATAAAATAAATATCTATACCGTAGTTATTTTTAGTGATAAGTAGATAAAATTAATAAAAAAATAATTTTTATTTTTATATAAATTTGGTTGTTTCTGAATCTTTACTTTAATTGTAAATAGTGAAATATTAACGACAGACTATTACAACATGGAAATCACACTATAAAGCAGCGTTTCTCAAAGTGGGCGATAACGCCCCCTTGTGGGCGCTGGAGGCTTTCAGGGGGGCAGTAGAAGGCTCAAAGAGAATTGGGAGGCGTTAAAGAAATATAGAGGGGCGACGGCAGACAAATTCTATATATATAAATTCGACGGAATATATATAAAATTTTGACATTTTCTATATTTTTTATTTTTTATTGAAGGTCACAACTTGAATATTTCTAACACATTGACTTTTATTTTAGCTCAGCGTTTCTCAAAGTAAGCAATAACGCCCCCTTCTGGCGCGATGAATAGATCTATGATAGAGGCAGGATATTGAACAATGACCAAAGGCAAAATTGGGGCTGATAAGAGGAATCATTGCATTTAATGGTTTCCAGATGATGAGAACAATGTACAGTAAGGGCACAAAGTGTGAGATTCATAGAAAAGTTTTCCTAAGAATATTTCCAATCCTATCCTTTTCTCACACAAGAGAAAATGGGTTAGGGGGCGTTGGGTATAACTTTATGGAACAAAGGGGGCGGTGGATCGAAAAAGTTTGAGAATCACTGCTATAAAGCATTGTATCCCAAAGCATTTGTTATGAAATTAAACTGAATCCTTATCTCAATTAAGTTTTTTGGACAATAAACAAACTATTTTTTCTTACTTTATTCTTTATAGTAAAACAATTATTAGTATTTCTGTCTTTTTAAAATGCGTGACTTATTTTCTCATAATATTGTATTTATATATACAATAAAACCTGTCTAAAACGGAACCTGAATGCAACGGAAACTGCCTAAAGGGAAAAAATTCGGTACACTGCGATTCCGGTTTACACAGGCTATAGCTATATTTTATATTTCACTTTTCCGCCAAAACTACACATCGCATGTGAATGGTGTTTGTATGTGGTAGTAGCCCCAAGTCTCCATTCGTGCACTATGGTGGTTGTGTCTCGATAGCTATAAGAGTGCGGGAGATATGGGGCTGAAAGTGGTTGAAAGTGGTTTTCTATTTCGAATGTTATATTCGAATTTGTTCGAATTTAATTCGAACAATATTCGAATTTGAATTTGAACATAAAATTCGAATATTGGTTTGATTATAGAACGATTGTAAACGTTCCAGAAAATTGATCAAATTGAAAATAGTTCATTTGACTGGATGTAAAAATTCTCTAATTAGTCTGGAAACGGGGGACCTAATTCTTGCATTCTGTGAAAACGGGTAAGATTGGCTATAATGTAATTATCTTAATCTTCACTATCGTTACTTTTTGCCCAGCGAAGCGGGTCCTTGCAGCTAGATTCTAGATTACTTAGAAA